TAACCAGGAAGGAAATATTCTTTCCATCTCAACCCTACACTATCCCTACAAATTAAAAGATAAATTCAAAACCCATTTTGATGAGTTTAAAAAACATAAAGTCTCACCCACAACCACTAAAAGGTAGCCCAAATGCCAAAGAAAACTGATACCCTATCCATGCCAAAAAAAATGCAGAAAGATTCTAGCGATTTTACTATGAATCAAATGATTCAGTGATATTAGCAGTTATACATGCCCAACACTTGAATGTCAAAAATAATTATTTGTATGATCAAAATAATTACATAGGCAAAAACAAATTTGTATGCTGATTTTTAATCATGTTAGAAAACTGCATATTTCCCTTCAATTATACACGCTAACCAAAATGCACTTTGTGCCATTTATCTGAGGTAAGTTTGTAATAGAGAAAATTAGTACATTATTTAGGATTATGCAAACACATTATATGGTATTACTTGAAGTCTCAGAAGTAAAACAGGAACAGAAGTATATCAGTATATCAACAGCTAAATTATCCAAATTCAAAAGCTTTCATTAGCTTCCATGTTTCTCTTGTATCCAAACAAACATGTACACTTGTCTCAAGGCAGGGCTATCTAATAAAAATATCAAGCTATATCAATTACAGAATAAAATACACTGGATTTTAGTTACCTTTAAGACAAGCTCGCCATAGCATTGTTCTACATTCACTCAAGTCTTTACACTACACTCTATAAAGAGGCATCCATATTCTTGACACCCAACCCTTCCTTTTGGAAATCCGTTTCACTTTCCTATGAAAGATCATTGATGATTAAATCCCATTGATGAGCTAAATTTATATATATATTAATAGGAAATTTTTGCTTTGATATTATTGATATTTGGATGAGTTTTATAGGATTTTGTTTGATTTTACATGGTTTTCATTCTTTGTGTAGAAAAGGATTTAATTGGAAGAAATCCTACTTTTTAGAAGTAAATTGAAGAGATCAGAGACTTGAGGATCAACTTGTGCAGAATCCAG